CGCGACCATCCAAACCCGTAGGTCAAGGGCAATGTCCAGGGCAGCGCGAGCAGTGAGCGGTTCAGATTGAGCTGCGTCATCCTTGTCAAACTGCTCTCCCGTCTCGTGGAAGTCCGACGTCTTGGCGGGAGCGTGGCGAGTGACGACCTTCTCGCTGCCCTGCTCTTGAGCACTTTCGCGCATGCGCTCCTGCTCATGGATCTCTCTCGAATCCAGGTGAACATCTTGACCAGCAGCGACAGCCATGGCGGTACCTGGGAGTTGATGACGCTGCCACCACTTGCCGGCTGGGTGGTCGCGACCTAGCAGCATCAACACAGCAGCGACGACGAGGAGCAAAGGCACCGGAAGTGCCAAGAAGGAGATACGCCAAGCGAGGTGGGTGCTGAGGCCAGCGCGGTGCAAGCCTTCAAAAGTGTTGATCATCAGTACAGGGCTCAGACCGCCGCCGAGGTTACCCCAGCCACCCGAGAAAGCGTTGGCGGTTCCTACGATGGTCTTGTCGAAGAAGGCGGTGGTCCATGCCTGAGTAGGCACGAAAGTTCCTCCCAGGATCGACTAGCAACATGAGGTAGCCGATGTCAGAATTTGGTCCTAAGTGCACGCCGCCACTGTTATACTCACGATGAAGAAACGAATGGTTTCAAGCCCACCAAGGTTGCTGATGGTTGGGACGAGAGCCGAGGGAATGGCACCCACAACCAAAAGAGTAGCAAGGACCTTGCGAGGTCCCCACTTGTCCACGGCAGGTCCAACGAGGAACCGGACGACGGCAGTACCGGCGAGAGAGCACAGGTTGCTGTTTGCAACTTGGTCTGCAGTGAGTCTCAGGTCGACTCTGACGGCTTCTGTCATCAGGGCTGCGAAAGCGAACCAGCAGATGAAGGCGGTGAAGAACCCCAGTGTCGCGAGCCAGAATGCAGTAGAGTAGGGGTCCCAGAACCGGAAGATGGGGAATGTGTAACTTTTACCGTTGACGGGGTTCACCACTGCAGGCTCCCACAGAGACGCCCATCTGAACTTGAGCTGTCCTGCTCGGGCTTGCCTTTGCGTCTCGGACACATACGCCTCCGTGGTAGCCACACCACCTGCGGACATGGGAACAATAGCGTCCTCTTGAGCTGTGGCACGCTTCTCATCGTGGGTGGACGAAGGTGTGGAGGATGAGCCCTCTCGGGGAGAGTATTGGGGCGCACTCATCTTGCGGCGAGGGAAAGGCAAGGGTCGAGCTGGATGACGCGCGGATGCTATGTGAGGCGCAGCAGAGGGCAGTTGTGAGATGAACGGATAATGATCAGACCGAAGGGAGGATGGACGGTTGAGATGTGGAGAGCGGGAGACCAAATGGTCGAGCTTCGATTCGCTTGGATCAAATACCTTTCCGACGCTCGTTTCTTCGATAGCTGCTCAA